TCGAGGGCCACAATGGGTTCTTAAACTGGACCGGAGGGCCGGAACAAAAGCATGGATGGAGTGTTTGTGTGAACTAATGTAAATTCAAAGTAAACATCATTACATAAAAGGGTACGGTCTTTTTATTCCCAATAGTTTTATTCATTTCAAACAGGCCGGATCAGGCCCACAGGCCGTAGTTTGCCCATGGCTGGATTAGGGGGTGTGGGGGGCACAGGCATTCAGCCACAGCAGTGCCCCTCTTGCTAACTAACTTCACGCACTGTTTCCAACCCCACCCTCCTCCTGTACCCCCCACACTTGTGGTGGGGGGCAGGGGGAGGGGTGCCATGCTCATCCCTGGTTTTCAATGTGGCGACGTGTCCTTGGGTTGTTTTAAAAATAGTTTCTGCAAATCATGGGCAAGCACATCAGGTTGAGAGCGTGCTGCCGCCAGCAGCCCCGCGCTAGTTCAATGGGGGGCAGGCCCAGTTTTAGTCACACTTCTGCGAACACCTGTGTGGAGAGAGAGAGAGAGACAGGGTCCCCGTCGAGGGAGGCCGCCCCCTTCTGGACGGCCATGTGCATTACAAGGCACCTGAAGTCATTCACCTTGCAGGTCTGGGAGCCCCATGGCCCAGGGAGCCTCCTCCCCTGTCCCCTGTCCCCAACCCCCACCCCGTCCCTGATGCCCAGGGTGCGACAGCCCCTTCCTCTCGTCACTGGTCCCAGCCCAGCCACACCTTTGCCCTGACGAGCTGCTGAGACGGTGAATTGCACTGATCAGTGCTCAGATCTGAAGCAGTGACACCCCCAGGGGCACCCTCTGTGTCCTGGGTGCAGAGAGGTCCCGGGTCCAAGGAGCCCTTCGCTGTGGTCGTGGCTCTGCAGCTTGTGTGTTTGACAGATTGCGCACAGGACTGTGTATAGAACCACAAAGGGGTGAATTTCAACATGTAAACCGTGTCTCAAAAAACCTAACTGAAAAGGTAACTGCTCTTCACCGTGGAGTTAAAGGCCTGGGACGTCCCCTCGGGCACCGTCCGCGTCTGGGAGTGATTCCGTCTGCTCCTCTCTCCCGCGTCACCACTGTTCATGCTTCGGTCGGCACCTTAAGAACCCATTGTGGCCCTCGAGTCAAAAAGTTTGCCCACCCCTGGCCTAGAACCACAAAGGAGTGAATTTCAACATGTAAACCGTGTCTCAGAAAACCTAACTGAAAAGGTAATTGCCCTTCATCGTGGAGTTAAAGGCCTGGGATGTCCCCTCGGGCACCGTCCGCGTCTCGGAGTGATCCCGTCTGCTCCTGTCTCCCGCGTCACCACCGTTCATGCTTCGGTCGGCACAGCTCCCGGAGGCGTGATGCGCGTGCATTCTTACTCCTTCCACACGGTTGTTACTTGCAGAAACCAGGCGTTGTGTCCGCGCTCTGAGTCCCGGTGTCGCTGGGAGGGTGTTTTATAGACGGGATCCAACCTCCTGGGC